TCCCCAACCTTACACACCTGAGGCTCCAATGAAATCTTGCCAGAGCTTCAAGGAGGAGGTGTCAGTCCCAAGCTCAGGAGGTATGGCCCAGGATGATGGGCGCAGAACGCACACGTCCCAGACGTACTACCAGCCCCCGGACCTGGACCTTACTGGGAAGTTGTTTAAGCGGGAGGGGGGCGGTAAGCCATATTCCGTGCTGGTGGACAATAAGATGGGAGCCAAGGGGCTCCTGGGGGATGCAGTTCCCGGGCAAGTGAACCCCCAACAGCAGCAGCAGCAGTATTACAGGGAGGCGGGGGCCCCAGGGTTGGATTCGGGCACGCCAGGGGCCCCGGGGGCCCCACAAGCTGGGGTGGAGACATCCGATGACTCGGATGGCTCTGAGGAAGATGACGAGGAGGAAGAGGGTGACGAAGAGGTGACGGAGTCGTTTAAACGGGAGCAGATCATCGTAGAGGTGAATTTGAACAACCAGACCCTCAACGTGTCCAAGGGCGATAATAAGCAGCCCTCACCCCCGGCCTCAACAGACACGTCTGGCAGGGTGAAATCCGGGAGCGAGGAAGAGGAGGAGGAGGAGGAAAGCATGGAGGAAGAGGAGGAGGAAGATGAAGAGGATGAGGAAGAACCAGAAGAGGAGGATGATGATGAAGAAGAAGAGGAGGAGGAGGAAAGGGAAGGCCGAAGAACAAGAGCCAAGAAATCCCAGCGGAGCGAAGTGAGCAGCGACGCCAGCCCCACACCGCCACAGCGCAAGACCCGGCGGACCACCATGGCGGCCGCCAGCGCCACAGCGCCTGGTGTGACCACAAGGGGGAGACGGCGCTGTGCGGAGCAGCCCAAGCGGAAATCGCGGCCGGCCCGGGAGCCCAAGGGGGCCGTTTCGCGGCCCACACCCTCGGACGCGACGGCGCCCGCGGGCAAGGCAGGGGGCGATGAGCGGGAGACCTTGGCGTGTGAGAAGTGCCCGCGTGTCTTCAACACCCGCTGGTACCTCGAGAAGCACATGAACGTCACGCACCGGCGCATGCAGATCTGCGACAAGTGCGGCAAGAAGTTTGTGCTGGAGAGTGAACTGGCTTTGCATCAACAGACGGACTGCGAGAAGAACATCCAGGTACAGTGTTCCCGCCTCATCGTCACTTCCTTCTGATGTTAGAACCCCAGATGACACCTCCATCCCTTGTTTTTCAAGGGTTCACTGTGACTGGTCAATGTCTAACAGATTTAATGGAAGATAAAGTAAGAATTGAGGCATGTACACGTAGGGTTGCAAAGGGCTGGAAAATTTCTGGAAATTTTCCTGAAACTTTCCGTTCCATGGGAAGTTAAGCTGGGGAATTTTGGAAATATTCCACATTAGAAACTTTCCATGGGAATTAACGGGAAAGTATGGGAATTAACAAGAATATTCCTAGAATTTTGCAACCCTATGTACACGAAGGTGCAAAGGTTACTAGGTGTGCTCGTCCTGGCCAGAAGAGGGCACTGCAGGAACGGAATTCGAAGCATAGGGGCTTGCCTGCATATTACTGCTTGAGCTGTGCCTGATCTGTCTAGTCTTGTTTGTAGTTTTGCCAGGTCAGGACATGTGTTCTCAGCTTTGTTTAGTAATGGTTATGGAACAGATTGACATTATGTTGGTTGAAAAACCCATTTCTCACAAAGTATTATTAACATAATTTTGAGTTTACTAAGGAGATAGACAGCCAGGCTAGTGCTGAGAAGGACTGGTTATTAAAATACGTGATATAGTACATCGCACAGTGCCTAGCCAGGGGGGTCAGGTTATGGAAATGACCAGGAGCATCGCTGTTGCCACGGTCACTGTTGCTGGGGAAGCTCTGGGAATCTCACTTCCATGTGTGTACACGTCTCTCTCAATGCGCAGTGCGTGTCCTGCAATAAGTCCTTCAAGAAGTTGTGGTCCCTGCACGAGCACATCAAGATCGTGCATGGCTACGCGGAGAAGAAGTTCGCCTGCGAGATATGCGAGAAGAAGTTCTACACCATGGCTCACGTACGCAAGCACATGGTCGGTATGTAACCCCTCACTGTGCGAGAGAGACTCGCCGTCTGTCCACGCTCCTCCAGATGGACCTGGGTTGTATGTGCCTCTGTTCTCACGTTCTCTCCCACTCTGCTCCCCACCCAGCCCACACCAAGGACATGCCGTTCACCTGTGAAACATGTGGGAAGTCCTTCAAGCGCAGCATGTCCCTGAAGGTGCACTCCCTGCAGCACTCGGGGGAGAAGCCCTTCCGCTGTGAGGTGAGAGCAGCACCGTTGTCAAGATCAGAATATGTAACTAAACCAGTGCTTTTCAAGCCGGTCCTTGGGGAACCCCAGCAGTCCACATTTCTGCTCCCTCCTAGATTCCAACACATCCTGTATCAGGTATTGGGTGTTCTTGATTGGCTGGGAGCTGAGAGGGAGCAAAAATGTGGACTGTCCGGGGTTCCCTGAGGACTGGGTTGAGAAACACTGCCCTAAATGACAGTGTGTGAGGTGAGGTTAAAGCAATAATGCTGTGGCCTCACACCCCTGCTGCTACTGATTGTCAGGGCAGTACAGTGGAATCTCTTCTTTGACTATGTAAAAATGACATGCTTGGTTGATATAAGGTTGCCTTGAACAGGTATTACAACTCTAGTAGCTTGACACTGGTTAAGTGTAGAAGCTTGGCTTGGCAGAATCCCTTCGTGGGCCGATTTGTAGCTCAGTAGTTTAGGGATCTGTGACCATTTGTAGAAGGTCACTGGTTCAAATCCCCTGGCCAGCAGTGTTGTCACATCTAGAAGGGGATAGTTCAGGTCCAGAAAGTAAAATTCCAGACCAAGATTTTCTTTCAAACAAACAGTTGAGTAGTCTTTGAATGTGACTCTTTGTACTGGTTGGTTGAAACAAAATCTTGGTATGGATTTGTACACTCTGGACCTGAACTATGCACCTCTGGTCATATCACTGTTGTGCCCATGAACAAGGCCCTTAACCCAGGGTTCCTACGCAGTGTGCGAAAGAATGGAATTTTTGTGTTTTCCAAATATTTATAAGTATTGCAAGAAATTGGCGTACTATATATCGTAACGTCTGAATTTACTCGTTAATGTTTCTGAGCTGGTTGTCAGCGCCAGAGTGTGTGCACAGGGCAAACACTGAGCCACGTCCCAAACCAAGGAGTGGGGGTGTGTCTGTGGGGTGTGCACTTCATTAATCTGCAGAAAGAAATACTGAGGTAGGCAGGAACGCTTTAATTACCCAGACTGAAAAAAGGGCCCCCTCCCGGCCGACGGCCTTTACCACCCCCCCCCATGGCTCCAAAATGCAAAGTCAGCGTAAAGTCGTCTGACATTTCGAAGGGGGATGAGTTGTCAGGCAGGTGGTCGGCCGAAGCATCGTTGTCTAGTCGCGCTCAGTGGCGAATCCTAGCAAAGGCAAGAAGGGGAAAAGCCCAGGGTGGCATCTTCTGGGGGGGGGGGGGGCGTCCACTTGGCAAACCGCCGGTTCCAGCTCTGGAAAGCTATGGAATTATTTTAAAATGGGAAGCGAGTGGGAACGCTGTCTTTAGCCCTCACTCATAGACTGCTTCGGATAGCAGAAACGTAAATAATGATTCTGCCTTTTGGGCTCGCTGATTGTGTGTCTTCGCTGAGTAAGTTCTCCCAGGTTTCTGCGTACTGTGACGTTTCAGGGTCCTGGAACACGGGGCGAGTATGAAACGTCACAGAAACAGCTGTCCCCCTTGTTTGCCGTTGCGTTATTTCCCATCCAGGAGTGTGAATGTTCTAAGGCCTTGCCGGTGTTGGAAATGGGCTTTTCCTGGACAGCCTCTGTAGATGTGATGCACAGGGTCCTTCCTCCCAATGCACCCCTTATGACATTTATGTTGGGCGCGGGGGCCGTTTCATACCCTGTGATGCCTGGATGCTCTTGTCCTCTATCGGGATACTGGTTGAAGCGGTGTTCTCAGACGGAATGCGGCGCAACAAATATTTCCCTGTGTAGGAGCATGGCAGGACCCCACTGGGTGGGCTGTCTGCATCAGGCCGAATCCTCATTATAAAGATCACAAAGGCACGCACTGTGTCCTTCTGGGTAAATAGGTCTTGTGGTGGGCCGGATCGGCCTACTAATTTGGGCCACCAACCTGGGATTATTTGAACAGAGGTCCTGTCCGTTTATTTGAGGATGGTTGGTAGACTCCTCTCGGGTAGGAAAAGCCCCAATCCCAGATTCTGGCGTTGTGGCTGGGAAGGGGTGGGCGGTGGGGGAGGTTCAGCCTGAGCTCCCTTGCTGAGTGTGCGGGCTTTGGGGCAGGCATCCCGGGCCCTAGAAATAGAGCACTAATAACAGGCTCCGGATTTGGGCTTGTGTTCCGCAACCATCCCTGAGGCATAATAAAAATGTGCCAGTGCCACCCCCGCCCACTGAGCGCGCCCCCCCAGGCCCGGCCGGGAAGTTTCTGTTCCATGTGTGAGTTCTCTGAGGACATCTGAGGTTTTTTTTTTTGTTTTTTTTTTTAACCCTACGCCAACACACGGGTGCGAGAATGCAGGGGGGATCTGGAAGGTACAATGGTGCTCAATCCAGCAGTCGAAGGTCACTGTCTGCCCAGCATGGTGAGGTTCCTGACACTCTGTGCCCTCCACCCTCCAGAACTGCGACGAGAGGTTCCAGTATAAGTACCAGCTGCGGTCCCACATGAGCATCCACATTGGACACAAGCAGTTCATGTGCCAGTGGTGTGGCAAGGACTTCAACATGAAGCAGTACTTCGACGAGCACATGAAGACCCACACGGGTGAGTCTAACCACATGACATCGCCTGCGTCTCAGCCACCGCTGGGTCGGGGTCCTGTTACGCTGGTCTAAGGTGTGATTCTATATCATCAGCGGAGTTCATGAACGGGTCGCTAATGGGTCCGTCGTGTGGTAATCAGCTGCAGACCGGAAAGGAGGGTCACAGTCCCAGCGGGTCAGCCGGAGAGAGTGCACGTGTCTGGGCCTGGAGCTCACGGCAGGTCGGGCCGTGTGATGACAGGGTGGCGCCGCAGCAGAGACTGGGCCGGGCCGCCCTGAACAGCCACCGCTTATATCCCGGCCTGCTCTCTTATTTGAAGGGAACCTCCGTGTGTTTTTTTCTTTTCCTTTATACTGTGGATGTACTTTTTTTCCGTGCCTCTGATTTTCTTCTCCGGGGGGTGTAATTACGCTTCCCCCGCCTTTCCTGCGGACGGATTTAGCCCCGCTGTGGCCGTGGACACACCCGTGCCCCACCCCACCCTTTAATAATGCACACCGCCCGCTAAACCCTACAGCCTGGCACGCGACGCCATCCACGGGCCCGGTCCGCTCTGGTCCACTCAGGCGGCGCTCTTCAGCCAGCCCCAGATTCTGATAAAGGTGTCACCCTTCTCTCCTCTCCACCGGCTGCAGGCGAGAAGCCGTTCATCTGCGAGATCTGCGGTAAGAGCTTCACCAGCCGGCCCAACATGAAGCGGCACCGGCGGACCCACACGGGCGAGAAGCCGTATCCCTGTGAGGTGTGTGGCCAGCGCTTCCGCTTCTCCAACATGCTCAAGGCTCACAAGGAGAAATGCTTCCGGGTCACCAGCCCCGTCAACCTGCAGCCCAGCGGCCTCCCTCTATCGCTACACCTTCCGGCCCCCTCCTCGTCCGGCCCCGCCCCCGGTCCAGCCCCGGTGCCCTCCGTCGGCCCCCAGGTCACCGGCGCCCCCGTCCCCGCCTCGCCCCTCGGCCTCAGCCCCTCCGGCGGGCCCCTCCCCCCCAGCCGGCCGGTGGGCCACACCTTCACACAGCTGCACCTGCACTCGCACCCCTCCCACCACCAGCACCACCACGCCCCCCATCCGTCCCACCACCACCTGCCGGTGCCGCCCGTCTCGCACCTGCCGCCGCCCCCGGCTCTCTTCAAGAGCGAGCCACTCAACCACCGCGGGCACGAGGACGGCTACATGCGGCATATGACACCTCCCGACAAGGGCACGGGTGCCCCCCCGCACCACTGAGTGCCGCTGCCGGAAGGAGAGACTCGCACAGCACGGCGACAACTGGCCCACGCCTCACCACCTCCCTGGACTGGGGGAGGGACGAACCGGGTGCTGGAGGGGGTCCCCGCTTCCAGTGCCACCTGTCTCTGTTTGACTGTGTGTGTGTATGTGTATCTGTGTGTGAGGCCAGCCCCCCCCCCAGCCCTAGGCTCTTGGCACCCAGCAGTCTGCTTCAGGACTCAGTGTCTGTGTGTCAGGGGGTGTCCATCAGGCAGCGGCTTCTCGTCATCAAGCTCGTTAACCTCCCACGAGGCCACGGGGGGGGGGGGGGGGGGGGGGGGGGGG